AGTCATGTATCTTATTTTATCCTGTTGCCACTAAAATATAAGAGTGGCTAAAATTAGTCTGTCAATTTTAATATTTCTATGAAGGCAATAGCTAAATAATGGTTTTTAACTAAATATTAAAGGTTACCTACTCACTTCTAAGGAAACAACCAAATAATACTCGATTTTTTCTTTTCATCCGGATCTTATGACAGTGGTCATAAACAAACATTCTACCTGTCATTGTTTTAGCATTTCAATACAGGCAGAACCGTCTTCCTTTTATAAAATCACCCCTGATTGGTATATTGCATCCATACTGGGTTCTCCCTAGAGATGGAATGGATTTTATTTTCACTAAAGTATTACAGACAACTTTTATTTGGTTCTTCTAAGAAGCCAGTAAATATGACTGTCCTGACTGACCCAGGAGGAAGGTCATGTTGAGTCAGAGCCTTTGCATCACAATATGCCTGGATGCCAACACCTGGAGCATCTCTAATGGAAGTTACTTCACTTGCTAAACACGCTTACATGAGCGTGTATGCACACACACACTCACACACCACACAGGGGACACAGGAACCACAGACATCAAAAGGAAGAAAATGGAGAATATTTGAAAAGATAAATTTGAAAGTTCAAAAACTACGTATCCTGATTCAATTACTATCCAGGGAAGTGGGGGAGCAGGGAAGGATACAGCCTTGAACTGGGCTGAAAGATAGAAGCCTTTTTATCCGAAGAAGTGCAAACGTATGTTAAAATCACGGAGAAATCTTTGAGGTGAGGCAGTTTTTGTGGAGAGGAAAGAAAAATGGTTGCTCTCATGCTTTTGCCAGTGACAGTTGCCATTTAAAGTGTGCTGTCTCCAGACATTTTGACAATGCAGAAGTCCAGTTTTTCCCGTTCCATTTTTTAGGTGACTAGAAAGACACTGTTGAAAGCATTTCAGATCCACAGTTACAAAGGCACAGTGCGTACTGACATTCAGAGTCGTCACTCTCAGTAGTGAGGCGGCCTAGGAGAGCATTTTATTTTCTTTCACAGCATATACCTGTTCCCTAATTACCTGAGAGGGCGAGGGGATCCTCTGACTTCCACAGCACTTTGAAGGTCTCGTAGCCAAGAAAGATCGAGGGGTGCCCATGTTAGTCTCTCCTGCATTGCTTCTACCTCAGAGACTATGAAAAAATAGGAGAATTTCAATATCATGGAGAATTCCTTATTTGCATCTGACATTATGTTAACCCAAACATCTTAAGTTAATTTCTAAAAGTTTGTAAGTACCGACTTCATAATTCCAAGGAAGAAGCATGCATTTTTCCTATTTCAGAAACAGATTTGTCTAACTCTTACCATATTTTGCATAGAATTATATTAAAAGCACATTAAGCAAGAGAAAAAAGAAATGAGGTTTTTTTGTTAGAAATTAGAAAATATAGTAATTTTTCTACCATTCTCCTGAGCAGTGGAAAATTATGGCAGGTTTTTAGATCTCATAATGCCTGGACATAGTAAGCACTTAGTGAATCTTGTTGAAAGGATGAACTAATGAATGTAATTCTGAAACAACCTGAGGTTTCTTGCCTTTAAAAGGCTGCTTTGAGTGTAGTAGATTTGTTAAAGGGTACATATTCAGTTCATAAGCAGTTCATATAAAATTGTGTGTGTGTGTGTGTGTGTGTGAGGAAGATTGGCCCTGAGCTAACATCTGTTGCCCATCTTCCCCTATTTTGTATATGGGATGCCACCACAGCATGGCTTGATGAGCGGTATGTAGGTCCATACCCAGCATCCAAACCTGTGAACCCTGGGCTGCCGAAGCCACTATAACCACTATACCATCATGCCAGCCCCTCACATAAATTTTTTTCAACTTACTTTAAAGTATGTCCCAGTTGGGCATGGTGGGAGTAGCAATGATCCGGGAGTTCAAAGATCTTGCCTCTAGGCCAGGCACCAACAATATATGGCAGAAGGCTTGAAAAAGTGACTTCCCTCTGATGAGTTTCTGTTTCCACATGAGTGTAATGATTGGTTTGGAGCAGATTAGATTACTTCTGATAGTCCATGCAGCTTCAAAATTCCACAGATGAATAATTCTAATTAAGGCAAATTGGATCTAAATTTAATAAACACTGACATAGCACCTACTGTGTGCCAGGTAATATTATAAGTACTTTACACAGTACGTGGTCAAATAATAATAATAACTAAGCATATGCTATGCATGGGATAGCATTTCCTACACTGTAAAGTATAAGCCAATGAGAGTTGCTATTAAAATGACAGAAGTTTTATTAAAATTCAATATAGTATGAATCATCAAAAAACCAGAATAGAAATAAAAGAATACTTGGAATTGAAAATAATGTAAGAATGAAGTAGTGATTCTATTTAAACCATTAAATAAAATTCATCTCACCGAAATGTGATCTAATCTTTATTTGACTTGAAAGAATAATCTAGCCATCACACTTGCACATCAGTCTCACTGCAAATAATTTGGCTTTTGTGAACTTGAATGTTCTCACACATATTGAGTTATAGAGAAGAAAACTTTTATGAAATAAAGACATTCTACCAGTATCACATCTTAATGTAATATTCTTATAATGAAATATTCTTTATAATATGCTTCAAGTGCACAATTCATTTTAATAAAATAATCTAGAAACCAGTATGATCACACAAAGGCATATGTCAGGAATGCAGCGGGCACATGGTTGTCTGTAAGCTTAGAACAGAAAGTAATACAGTGAAGAGAAGTTTGATTGGGAGATACCAATAGGCTTCAATCCCTAGGCCTTGTAATCGTCCAAGTCTCGAGTTAAAGCCCTGGAAATGGATGGCAATTTGGCAAGCCCAGCAATTTCTACGTCTGGACATGGTGTGTGGGCCCTTGTCCTTCTCCTTGAAACTGCCGAGACTCCATGCATTTTCATCCCCTTTCAGCACCTCCTCTGCTGCTACTCGTCCTTTATGGCCACACTCCAGCACCGTTTCCTCTAAGAAGCTTGTTCTGAGCGAAACCACCTGCTCCCCTCGAATGTCCTCCACCCACACAAAGGGTTAAGTTCCCAACTTTATGCTTCTATAAAACCTGGTATAAATCTCTAACATATTTCAATTATTCAACCTACTAGGTTATGTTACATTATTGGCCCATAGTCTTTCTCATTCAGTGAACTTTGAGCTCTTTGAGAGCAGAACCTATGTTTAATTCATTGTTGGGTCCCCAGAGTCTTGCACAGTGCTTGACACAAATGATATTCTTAAGAATTGCTTGTTAAATGGACCAATGAATGAGTGAATGACAGCAATAACTAGTATTTACTATTAAAATGGTTTGAACCATTGGCTGTCCTTCATGTGTTTAATTGGTTAGAAAATATGTTGGGAATTGACTGTGTTTCAAGGGAGGCACTGGAGTGAGGGATGTATTTCTTGCAAATTTGTGGAGTATCTTCATGATCAACAATTTGGTTTAGATCATCCTTTTTTCTTCCTTACTCTGAGAATAATAGAGAAATTGGGGGGAAAATCTATTCAACCGGTATTTACTGAACATCTGTTGTCCGAGGTGATGTGTATCCTAGGCAGACCCAGATTCTATCCTCAAAGAGACAATAGTTTAGATATTTAAGAAACTCCTATGAAGGAAGAAAGTGATACATGACATCAAAGAGACCAATGTTTCCTAAAATTAAAAAAAAATGTAACAAGGGTCATACAAAGGTCAGATTTGTCAGAGATAAATTGTCTGGATTCCCAAGAAGCCCCCACCAGATGGGAGAGCTAAATTGGACGATCAGGGCTCAAAACCTGCTCTCAGCTGTAAAGGCCCTGGACCCAGAGATGGTCAGATCTAAGGAGACTGGCATACATACACGCCAAGCTTAGTGGAGCTTGGAAACCCAAAAGGCTAATGACCAGGCGAACTGGAAAATTAGTTGTGATTTAAACATGGACTCAGAGTAAAGGGAGCTGGACAGTACTGGAGATGCTTCAGCCACACAGTGCACACGCACCAGCCTGACTTCCCATACAGGTTTTTCCTCCAGGAATCAAAGACCAGATCCAGTATTTCCTCTCTTAGACAGTATTGGATAAACAGAGGACCTGTGGATTCAGGTGTATACCATAAATGGTAACATTATGGGATTTCAGAGGCTAAAAGATGACATTTAATCATAGACATCAAGGAAAGCTTTATGGAAGAAGTGGTGTTTCAACAATGCCTTAAAGATTGCTTAGAGTTTGCGGGGGAGAATATTCTAAATAGAAGGGAGAGCATGAGCAAAGAAAGTGAGTGGTTCATTTTTGCTGGACATAGGGTATGTGATGGAGAATGGTAGAATATTATGGGGGGCTGGAAACAGATCATGGATGGGCTTGAGAGCCAGTTATGAGGTTTAATGTTATTCTTTGGGCAATAGGGAGTGATAACAGAGAAAAAGCACTGCACTCCAGGAAAATGAATTTGACTGTAGGGTGTGAGTTGGCTTGCAGGAAGAAATCCAGATGCAGAGGCCATTGGGAAGCTTCAGAATCTACATGGAGGACAAAACTCAAACAGCAGCAGTATAGGTAGAGCAGAGAGAGACCGAAGGGTACAGGAAGTACCATAGTTTTTTCCTTATACACACATACACACACACACATATACATACAAGCTCACTCCAAAGCAAAATATAAACCTATAAGCTATATAGCCAATATAACGAAACCTGTCCTAATTTCTATGAAACTCCCCGTTTATAAAAAAAAACAGAATATTGAAAAATCATTGATCCATTTAGCCAATTTGCTTGATTTTGGATCGTCTAAGTATCGAATTTTATAAAAATGGGATTTTCAAAGCATCCACACGGTGGGTATCGATACCTAAGGGGTAGATTAAGGGGAAAAAAATATCCTATGTAGGTCAATTTTCTTGTCTCCAAAAATGTCCAGGTGATTTCTCCAAATAGATACTCTTTCAAGCACTTTCTAACGTTAGCTAACCCAACTAACAGGAATGCTGCAGAAAACAGAAGCAGGAACTTTGTGAGAAGTTTGATTACCTGTATGGCATCCTGGAGGAGAGGAAGAATGAAATGACCCGAGTCATTACCCGAACCCAAGAAGAGAAATTGGAACATGTCCGTGCTCTGATCAAAAAGTATTCTGAGCATTTGGAGAATGTATCAAAGTTGGTTGAGTCAGGAATCCAGTTCATGGATGAGCCGGAAATGGCCGTGTTTCTTCAGGTTAGTCTCCTTTTGGTACCAGAGGAAACTAATCAAGAAGGTGGAGAATTAGTTGTGATCACATTTTTGTTATTTTATGTACATCTCATTTGGATCTATTTTACCAACCAAAATATAAGCCTGTTATGTGCTTATTTCCCCCTCTGTTTAAAAAATTTCATGAGCATATATTTAAGGGACCATGACATTGCTTAAACATAGAGGGTTCTGGTATAAAACAGCAGTTGTCTACAGCATTTAGAAACTAAGCTATGAGATTTTCAGAGTCTGCAAAGGAAAGAACTAAGTCTCAATACCATCCTTGATGAAAAGAATTTAAGTAAGCCTGTCTTTTGTTTGCTTTCACAGAATGCCAAAACCCTATTACAAAAGTAAGTAATTTTCATTTTATGGAAAAATGCATGCTTTTCATTTTTACCCGAGGCTATCAGACTTTAAACAATGACAGAAAGTGGCAACTTGTCTTTGTTGCAGAATTTCTGAAGCATCGAAGGCATTTCAGATGGAGAAAATAGAACATGGTTATGAGAACATGAACCACTTCACAGTCAACCTCAATAGAGAAGAAAAAATAATACGCGAAATTGATTTTTACAGAGGTTTGTTATTCTTGTGACCATTTGGCCAAAATTGCAGGTGTGTGAAAGCTGCACAAGGGTTTAGTGGGAGGAAAGGGGGATTCAGAATCACCTCCAGAATGGATCTTGACAATTTTACAAGGATCACAATCCAATGTGAAGCTCTATGTCATTACAGAAACATATAGTTTATCAACAGTGTTTATTTAGTGCCTATTACAATGCCATTCTTGAGCATTTGATTCTTAGTAGTCAAATACTTAATCACTGATGGCAGTGATGCCATCTCAACTTCGACCCTACACAAGGTGTTAGCCAAAATGATGTAGTGTCATCCGGTGCAAGGTTAAAGATGAGGTAAAAATAAAACATGTCTGACATTTGGATAGATACTATAGCACATCCACTTAATCAAACTTTAGAGGGCAAGAACAATAATGAGTCACAGAATAAGTCACAACCTGGAAATAAAACTGAGTCTATGTGACCAGATGTACTCCATGAGTTACAAATGCATCCCTACCATTTGGCCCAGAAATCCCACTCCTGGAAATTTATCCTGGTGAAATAATTGAAAAGAGGAAAATAACCTTGGAGCTGACCAAAGCTTTGATTGTCTTGATTCATCCTATCCTATCTAGATGAGAGACTCCTCAGCTGTACCACTAATAATGCCATGAAGTTATATCAGTGTCCACAGATGTAACTTTAGAAGCAAATCTTCAGGATGGATCTTTTTTAAACAATTACTTAATATTGTCTGTCCTTAGTATTGCCTGAGGGAATATTAAGATCATGGGTTAGGAAAAGAGTCATGGCATTAATTGTGGCAAAAGTCGGTATTCACTGAACAAAGGAGGTAAGAAATTAAAACAAGACAAGGGTTTTGTATGTTTTCTGAGATAGAGGAGAGTTGTATTTCCATTTAACTTGACAGAGATAAATAAGTGACAATCCCAGCTCTCCAGGAGCTTGCAGATGTGACAGAGCATGATAAAAATGTGAACAGGCTCTGGGAGGTGGATGGATGGTTCACGGTGGTGGTGAGGACTGCACTCTGTATGGGGAGGGAGCAAGGACAGTGATGATTTGGTCCCCTTTACATTTGTCCTGCCCACATTTAACTAGAAGCACAGGCCCTAGCACAGCGTACTTGGGCGACCGTCAAGAGTCTGATGGAGAGGATTTCTCTAGCCCTAACCTTAACCTGGGCTATAAGTACTGGCCATTAATTGTTTTCATGGCTGCAGTGGTAATTATAATGATTTTAAAAATACATTACCTTACCAGAAGATGAAGAAGAAGAGGAAGAAGAAGAAGAAGGAGAGGGAGAAAGAGAAGGAGAACGAGAAGGAGAAGAGGTGGTAGAGGTGGAAAGGGTAGAAAATGTTGGAACAGAGTCGTCAGGAGCAGATGAAAGTCCGGAGAAAGGCTTGCAGCCCTCTCAGCTGGCCTCGGAGCTCCAGGCTGCCCCAGAGCCACTTCCGGTTTCCTCTCCAGAGCCACCTCCAGCCCTGCCACCTGCTGTGGAGGCCCCGGTGACACAGGTAACTGTTCCTGAGTTCCTTCCTACAGGACACACAGGTGCACCTCCTTGCTGAACAGCCTAAACAGTTTATTCTACCTTAAGAAAAAGATGACTGTGTGCCAGACATTTGGATGTGGAAGAGAAAGGTTTCAGGGCAGTCACAATGTCAGGGAGAAACATCCTCTAGGTGATTCAGCAGGTTTGTTGTCGTAACTGGTTGTCATGATTTAGTTTAACAGGATTTTCCCAGCAATAACACCCTCAAATCTGAGACAAATTTGTCTGGAAATTGTGTGTGTGCGCAACACGTTAGTTCATAGAGGGCTGATATCATGAGGATTGTGTCTGTTCTGAATACAGAATAGGGTATAGGATGAGAAATAATATAGGGCAAGAAATAAAAATAATTTTACTTTCAGGTCTTTAAATTTTTTGTAGCTAATAAAGCAAGTAAATGGAGAAGCCATGCTAGTTTGTGTCCCTGTTACTTACGCTGAAATACAACTAAGTCTTTCGTTTAGTGGGCAAACAAATGAAGCCTGGTTTTCTATGTATCTGTCATTTGATGAGATTATGTGTTGACAGAATTGTTTTAAAAATTTCTTAGGGAATTAGCTCATCCCAGATGCTATTCCTGGTTGGCTGTCCTTACGTTTCTAAGATGTCACTGTCCAATTTTCATACCTTTGTGCTGACTCCATGACACCTTCAGCAGACAGCTTCCAACCTGTTGAGTTTGTGGGCAATGCAGGCTTGTCAAAAAGGAGCCCTGGTTTTGCACGTGCTTTCAAAGTGGATTGAAATTATCTACAGAAACGAAACCTCAGAGGGGACCTCTGAGATGGAATTATAATCTATTCTCTGTCTCCATAGGAAACCAGGCTGAAACTATTTATAGTTCCTAGGATCTTGAAATTCTGGGTATACCAATTGCCCTGAAATTGAAAGAGATGTGATCACTAAATGAGATTTGGATTTGATCAATAAGACCAATTTTTGGTTTTAGAAAAGAGGTTTTGGGGGGTCCACATATAATGTCAAAAATTAATTCTGGTCAATAGTTTGACCTTTCTCTTATATCTGATCTTTTATGAGCAACCTTTATTTTAGGCTTCTGCTGTCTGCCTGCCTAGGCTACCATCTAGTGAAAGACAAGCCCAGAAAAGAAGGGGCACACGCAGATGCCAAGACAGGGGGCGCTGCTGTCAGCATCCCTCCCTTAGCGCTGGCAGAGGGTGGGCCGGACTAGACACGCACTACGTCAGGCACTGCGCAGAGAGGTCACAGTTTCAAACCCAAAGGGAACTAAAATCAACTGCTTTTTTCTTCTTCTTCTTCTTTTTTTTTTACTTTTAAATTTATCTGTCCTGATTAAGGGGGAGGTTGTGCCCACTGGCTCTCAGCAGACCACAGAGTCTAAAACTCCAGCCCCTGCAGCAACGGACACTGCGGATCCCTTGTTTTACCCTAGTTGGTATAAAGGCCAAACCCGGAAAGCTGCCACCAACCCACCTTCCACCCCAGAGAGCGAAGGTCTGGGGCACGTAGGGCCGCCAGGTTCTGAGCCTTCGAATGTGCAGAAAGCAGAAGTGGCAGAAGCCGCAGCCAGTGAGAGGGCAGCAGTGAGTGGTAAGGAAACTAGTTCACCTGCAGCTACTTCTCAGGTTAGTTGATGCTCTTGTGTCTGAATGCTTCCCCCTGCCGCCCAGGCTCCCGCTGGAGCCACAGCAAGAAAGAAGGGCTTCCAAAGGGGCAGAGAGAAACTGTGGCCTTGGGAGAAAACAGAAACACCTCACCCCCCAATGTTGCCTTGTTGTTTAAGCCTTATATTGGCTTGTTTTTTAAGCCTTATATAAAAGGAAAAAGAAAAAAAATCGACTTCACTCTGCTTGTGCGTGGTGAACTCACACCTGGCTTTCTGAGGGAGGGGGCGCAAGCAAGCTTGGCCCTTAGGCATGCCGTTGGAAGCTGCTTTGTCTGCAGTGACTGGCTGGTGTCCTGGTCCTCCTTTGCAATGGCCACTTGCCTCTGCTTGGCCTTTTCTGTGTCCTCCTTGGGCTTCCAAAGGCTACTCTTTTGTGTGGTTCCCAACAACCCCCAAGGAGCACTTTTGAATTGAGTTTTAAGTCTGCTCTGGAAAATAACCTCTGGTTCATAGATTCTGGAGGTGTACTGGCCACGGCTAGACAAAAATAGTCTTTTTTGACTGGATTAAACCAGTGCTTCCTGAGCATGTGCTCCTGAGAGCAGAAAAGCACAGGTTTTCCTCCATGGCATTTTTTTAAAGGGTCACTTACTATTTGTTTTTTCGTTTTATAATAAAAGTTTGAAGTCCACATCTTCTTCCTAACACTGGGTTAGATGTTTGCATGACTCAGAGATTCCACAGAAGAAATCTTCCCCAATTTCTTCACGAGGAAGAATGTTCATGGTTACTCCATACCTGTGAGCATTCTTAAATGATCTGTGGGTGTGAGTGTCGCCCAGACAAAGGGCTGGCAGAGAATTACTCTCTAGTTCTGTGCTCCTGGGTCATCAGGTGATTCTGAACAACAAACGGCATTTTTTCAAAAATCAGAAAATTGCTTATTATCTTGACTGTATCTGCTTAAGTGAACGTCAATTGCATAAGGTAATAAAAGAAAATGATTTTTGGAAAATTAAAAGTAGCATGCTTTTGTGCCATATATTTATTTTCACAGATGAAAAATGACAAAAATAAATGTTTGATGTGAGGAAACTTTTTGAGGTAGTTTTAAGGTTAAAAATGGATTAGAAAGTTTCCTAGAAACTTTATGGGAACTTTATTGCTAGAAAGCTTATGAAAATTCTTACACATTTGGTGGAAGTTGCGTGAGGAGGAGCTGTTTTCTGAAAACAGCAGTGAAATACCCCATCATAGGAGCACATCACAGGGCTCCAAACCAAAATGAAAAGTCCATCTAAATGATGCTGAAAAATGTCATTTGTGATAATATCAGTGAAGCTTTCTTCTTGTTTTCTCACAGGAGTTAGCAATCTGCCTAGCACTTTTGGCTTTTCTTATACTTCACTACATCTGGCGTCAGATTCAGTGCTTGATTTTTACTTTAATGGGTAGGAAATATTTTCTTTTCCCTTGACTAACATCTCATGTAGTTTCTTCCATAATGCTCTTCTTCTGGAAGCCCAGAGATGAATTTCTCCCCAACTTTGAGGTTTGCCATCTGAAAAGCACCAAATTCTTAGACAATACTCGTGGCCTCAAGCTCCCTACATGCAGTCACCTCAAGGCACCTTCTGAGGAGAATTGCTCCGTTATCTAATCCTGCATGTAGGGGACTCCTGACTCAGAAGAGTGACTCAGTGGGCAATTATTCAGTAATCCAGTAGGAGTAGACCCTTCAAAATAGCCACTGGGGAGGCTGATTTCAAAAGGTGTCCATAATTCTGTGAGGATTCACTGCTCTTAAAGTAGAGTGAGGAGCAGCAAAGGCCTTGTTCAGGATATGTGGGGTTTCCATAGATTAAGTAGCAGCATTTCGTCTGCTTACACCAGAGGTGCCCAGGAGGTGGCTAGATGACTCCTGTTGGGGATACTAGGCAATTCTTACACTAGTGGACACGTGGACTAGGTAACTTCTCAGTTCTCTTTGAGAGACTCTATAGTGTCTCTCCTAGGAAAGGAGGGCCCTGAGAGAGAGAGGCCCTGGGTGCAGCAACATCAAGGGGATTGTAGCCAGCTGAGTTCGGAATGAATAAAGAGCTGGAAGATCAATGTTTATCTACCACCAATAAGAATCAGAACCAAAGAAAAGTCACAAAGCCAACAAACAGCATATTTTTTTGAGACACATTTCTCATAGTCAAGCTTTTTCTTGATGGCTGTAATGAGTTTTGCTTAGGAAATAACATCTTACTCCTTTAATAGTTTTTTGAATATCATCAGTTTAATTAATAATATTTAAAGATTCAAACCCCATGTACTTTCGAGTAAATGACCCTGTTAGACCTGAGCTCCAGCTCACCGCCTATAGCTCAGAAGCAGTTCAGGGTGACTAGTGCTGAAAGGCCTCAGCTATTTCTGGCTCATTGACTTTTCCCTGGGTTGACATTGACTCTTCTGGAAGCTCCCATCATAGTTTCTTTCTGTCTCATTAGCTGTCTGCTCAGCAATGGCAATAGGATCTCCATGGGTCCCTGTCATGTCTGTAACTATGTATAAGTAGGACCTGCCCCTGATATCTAATAGCCAGAAACCTGTGCACCCTAGAATGTTCCAAGTGTCCTTATAGTCTGCTCAGGTGCATAACTCCTCCTTCTGTCATTATTTGTGGTGAAGAGTGGTGGGAGGAAGTTGTGACCATGGACTCAGTGGGGCAAATGGAGAAAGAGAAAACTCCGTGCTTTATTGGAATATCCTAATTGTGGATCTGAATAATTGTCTGAAGAGGTCAGTTTACATTCTGAGAATTCAGGTTTGGGGCTTTGTCAACACATATCCTTGTACTGCTTCTCTGAGGCTACAGAGGAGAGTCATGCTTCTTGTCTGCCATCTACAGAGCCCGTGTCATGTCCACTGACATTCACGTGCTGTCTGGTGAGATGAGGGTGAGGCAGGTGGGGGCGGGGTGGAGTAGGATGATTTGACCTTCAGTATTGCAAAGACCCTTGCTTGTGTAGTTCTCAGTGTTTGAGAGAGATCCTTTCATGTGGAGAAGGAAACCTGTTCATGACAGAGTACCTCTCTTTGATCCCTGAAAGGGGATATGGACAGATGGGTAGAGACCTCACCATAGTATCAGATTCCTGGCCTCTGAAATGTTTGCAGGCCCAGATCACCTTCACTACCTCAGAACCCAACTCACTAAGATTAATATTTGTGCAATGCAAGGTTAGCTTGTTGGAATTTCACACTTCATCATTAGTCTTTCTGTGAACACTTAGGATATGATACAAAAGTTCTCCTTGATTCACTGGTGGTCTTACTTCTCTTCACTAGATGATTCCGTATCAGGGAATGAGGTTGCCTTGGAAACTCCGAAGCACCTCAGGCTCACTTGCTGATCTGTAAACTCACCTCAGCCCCCATCAGCAGAACTGCAGGTCTTTTGAGAAGGCAGATGTTTCCAGGTGCTTTCCTCATAGCCATTCACACACTGAAACCTGCCCTTGCTTTTACGGCCTGTGATTTCTGATGCCATTATGATCTCTACTTTATCGGGTACCTTCTCTCTTCACCTAATCATGTAGGTAGATTATATATTAGAAACTGGCGAAAACCAGATGTCAGCTGTCTCCTCTAGTGGTGAACGGGGATTCTGCTTTTTGTGGATCAGAGGGGCCTTGCTGCCTTCCTCATCCTCATTCTCAAAGAAAAAATAATTTCTCAACAAGGTTTGGATTCAGCCCTATGGCAAATTTGGATCTCATAGAAGGCCCTGGTTCCATTCATCCTCCTGCTGGACACACTTTGAACCCTTTCACACCCCATTCCTCCCGGAAACCCCTGTGAAAGAGGTCACAGGTCACATTGTGCAAAGCCCTTCTACATGAACTGGTCGTTAGCTGCAAAATTGTCCTGTAAGTTTCCATCCTCCTGGGCCATGCCTTTTGTATGTTCAGTCAATTGCAAAGAGAGTTTAGTAGAAATAACACTTGGTCTACTTCATGTGTTAATTTTCAAATTTATTTTGAAAAAATTACACCACAACAACCTCAGAAGACAGCGCAATAATAAGGTGGGGAGGTGGACTCTGTCTGACAGGTCAACTGCCCTCGTAAGCAGTCTCTGTGAGCCTTGTCTCCTGGGCGTGCCTCATTGGGGCGATTTCCTGGTCCAGTCTGCTTCCATCCTCTGTTCTTCCTCTTCCTACACTATTTACATGCAAATACACCTGGATGTCAACACAGGGACTGCCCTGACCCCACAACCCCATGAACAATTGAAATAGATGCGGCAATTAGATTTTTCCAGAAGTGGGAGCAGCAACAATGAAAGCCCCTCCCTGTTCCCATTCCTCCCTTCCCAGTGAGGCTTAGTGGCCTTGTGTGGAAGAATTTGTCCAGACCAATTAATGGTAGCTGTTCAGGGAATAGGAATTTCCAGAGAAATGTCTCCCTATTTGATGATTAATTTGGCAGCTGCTCTGGCTGATACTTGAGCTGGACCAAGGCGGCTGCCTCAAGGTCAGAGAACGCCTCCCACACACACGTCCCAATGAGAGCCAATTGCCTTGGAGATAGGGAGTCTGGCATTAAAATTTCTGCAATTTCTGCCTCTATAAAGAACCAAAGCTCATATATTTCACCAGAGCATGAAGTTGTAATTGTAAGAGACCCTAAAAGCTTTACCATATCATAGCCACTTGTTGTTTCAAGAATAGACTATCCACTTTTCACATTCCATTCTTCAAGCCCGAAAATAGACCAAAAAGTTGGGTAGGAAGTCTGCTAAGGCCCAGGGCTCTGGAAAGATCAACGAAATTAGGAAAAAGGACTTAGGTGCCAGTGCTGCCACTTCTGCCTCTGCCTCTGGGTGTTTGGTTTCTTTGAGCCTCAGTTTTCTCACCGGGAAAGTGAAGCAACTACTCAATGAAAAGATTCATCTATTTACACAACATTGGAGAGTGAAAAATCTAGTACTAAGAATTTTATAAATTGTTTCAGGATGTTTTCATTGGGA